CTGGTTTCAGCCATCGATTGCTCTGGACTGATTTCAGGTACACGAAAGCAGGCGATGCACTGCCAGTGGTGTGAAAGCTCTCATCACACCACGGAGGACTGTCAGGCGATGAGGGAGTTGACTACTCCCCAAGAGCAGGTGGACTTCATCGGCAATGCCAGGCGTTTCGACCCTTACTGCAACACTTACAATGAGGGGTGGCGCCAACATACCAACTTCTCCTAGGTTGGGGCCAATCCTAGACAAGATAAGGGCAATTTTAGCAGCATCAGCCTCTTTACCCGGCCAAACAGGGGCCAGTTCCTCCTCGCTCACAGGTGCGGCCATTTCATCAATCTCTGGCCACCTCCAGTGCAAACAAGTTCAATAATATCGAGCAGTTCATGGAGAAAGCTTCAGGTAAATTCTTGGAGCTAGAAGCTGGCCAGAGAAACACGCAGGCTATGTTGTGGGATATCCAGACTCAACTTGTAAGTGTGGCCCAGGCTGTAGCCTAGAGGGCTCCTGGTACTTTACCCGGTCAGACCATTCCTCATCCACAGGAGCCAAATGAGCATTGCAAGGCCATTACCACCAGGAGTGGCAATGTGACTGTTGATCCACCTGTCTGGGCACAGGAGAGAGAGACCCATGCTTCAGCACTTCCAGCTAATGAAGAGGAAATAGAGAAGGAGGTTGAGGTGCCTTCTCCTAAGCCGCAACCAGTGGTGACGGAGTATGTACCGCAGCTTTCCTTTCCTACTCGGTTTCACAAAGACCGACTGGAGACTGAGTTTGCCAAGTTCATGGCAATGCTGAAGCAGGTAAACATAAGTATTCCCTTCGTGGAGGCATTATCGAAGATGCCCAAGTATGCTAAGTTCATGAAGGATCTCCTCACCAACAAGAGGAAGCTTGGGGAGCTGTCAACGGTGATGCTCAACGAGGAGTGTTCTGTAATCCTGAAGAACAAACTACCAGAGAAGCGCAAAGACCCAGGGAGTTTTACTATCCCTTGCATGATTTGTAGTTTGCATATAGGAAAGTCCTTGGCAGATTTAGGCGCTAGCATAAATGTCATGCCATATAAACTGTTTAAAAAGCTAGGCCTAGGTGAACCCAATAATACTAGGATGAGCATTCAACTTGCTGATAGATCCATTGTGCATCCTAGGGTCATTGCAGTGGACTTGATAGTCGTAGTAGGGCCATTCTCATATCCTGTTGATTTTGTTATTCTTGATATAAATGAGGATGTGGATGTGCCTCTAATACTGGGTAGACCTTTTCTCACCACCGCCAAGGCGCTTATTGATGTGAATGATGGGAAATTAATTTTTCGGGTTGGGGGTGAACAAATCACCTTCTCAGTTTCTGATAATACGAAACTCCCCCAGCTCCATGATGATCTAGACTACTGTAATGTTATTGCTGATTTTGAGACCTCACTCACCATCACGAGTGCGAGTACTGACGATTTCCTCGAGTGTTGTCTTTTGTTAGGGGAACAGGCATCACAGGAGTTGCAGCTGGAGGAGCAGCTCGCGGAGCTAGACGAGACCGCGATCGAGGGGCGAGAGAAACCATTCAAGCCGATCCCTATCTCTCCCCGGATCGCCACATCATTGGAGGAGCCACCGGAGCTGGAGCTTAAGCCCATCCCCTCTCACCTGGAGTATGCATTTCTCCGGGAGGGAAATAAGCTCCCGATTATTATCAGCTCGGATCTCACACCCGAGCAGAAGAATAGGCTGGTGGCTCTGCTGCAGAAGTAGGCTTGGGCCATGGCGTGGAAGATAACAAATATCAGAGGCATTAGCCCATCCTTCTGCTCCCACAGAATTCTGATGGAGGATGAGGTTAAGCTTGTCAGGCAGCCACGGCGGAGATTGTCTCCCAACTTGGAGGCAGTGGTCCGGGCAGAGATTGTGAAGCTAATGGATGCAGGGATCATCTTTGTTATATCTGATAGCAAGTGGGTCAACCCCACTCAGGTGGTCCCGAAGAAAGGCGGGATGACTGTGGTCCCAAATGAGAAGAACAAGCTGATCCCGATGCGGACTGTGACCAGATGGAAAGTTTGCATCGATTACCGGTGCCTGAACGATGCCACCAGGAAATACCATTTTCCCCTACCTTTCATTGGTCGGATGCTGGAGAGGTTGGCTGGCCATGAGTTTTATTGCTTCCTGGATGGCATGTCTGGCTATTTCCATATTCCTATCGCACCAGAGGATCATGCGAAGACCACATTCACTTGCCCCTTCAGTACCTTTGCTTACCGGAGGATTCCATTCGGGTTATGTAATGCACCGGCGACCTTCCGGAGATGTATGTTGGCGATCTTCGACCGAATGGTTGGGAAGATCATGGAAGTCTTCATGGACGAATTCTCGGTTTATGGAGACTCCTTCACTCATTGTCTCCATAACCTAGAACTCGTTCTGAAGAGTTGCGAGGAGACTAATCAGGCACTCAGCTGGGAGAAATGCCATTTTATGGTCCGTGAGGGGATTGTTCTCGGGCACAAGATGTCCAAGCAGAGGATTGAGGTAGATCGCGCGAAGATTGAGACGATCAGTAAGCTACCTCTTCCCATCTCTGTGAAGGGGATTCGCAGCTTTCTGGGTCATCCAGGCTTCTACCGCCGCTTCATTAAAGATTTCTCGAAGATCGCCTTGCCTCTGACCAAGCTGTTGGAGAAGGATGCACCATTCCAGTTCACTCCTGAGTGCACAGCTACATTCGAGACATTAAAGGAGAAGCTTACCCATGCACCCATCATGGTGCCTCTTGACTGATCTCTTCCTTTTGAGCTGATGTGCGATGCGAGTGACTATGCAGTCGGAGAAGTTCTGGGTCAGAGGCGCGAGAAGCACTTCCAGCCCATCTACTACGCGTCGAAGACTTTGGACGATGCACAAGAGAATTACACCACCACTGAGAAGGAGATCCTCGCTGTGGTGTATGCATTTGATAAGTTCCGACCATATCTAGTGATCTCCCATGTGGTGGTCTACACAGATCATTCGGCGATTCGCTAACTGATGAGCAAGGCTGATGCAAAGCCTAAGCTCATCCGTTGGATCCTGCTTCTGCAGGAATTTGATATCGAGATCCGGGACAAGAAGGGAGCCGAAAATGTTGCTGTAGATCATCTATCACGGTTGGAAGCCCCTCCGATGGACAACTTCGTGGAAGAGATCCATGACTCCTTGCCGGGTGAGCGATTGCTGGCGATGACATTGGTGGACAGCGTGGCCCCTTGGTATTCTGACTTTGCCAATTATCTGGTGGGCAAGCATCTACCAAAGGGGATGGCCACTCATGCAAAGCACAAGTTCTTCTCCTACCTGAAGCATTACTTCTGGGAGGATCCTTACCTCTTCAGGATCGGAGTAGATGGCGTGATCCGGCGCTGCGTCATGGAGCACGAGATGGGAGACATCCTGTCTCAATGCCACGAGGGAACTACTGGAGGACACCATGGAGGAAACCGCACGGCGCGGAAGGTGTTACAGTCGGGCTTCTATTGGCCCTCACTCTTCAAGGATGCAGACACCTTCGCACGACAGTGCGACCGCTGCCAAAGGTCAGGTAACATTTCTTCCCGAGATGAGATGCCCCAACATATATCTGTCGTTTGTGAAATTTTTGATGTTTGGGGCATCAATTTCATGGGCCCATTCCCTCCATCTTTTGGAAATTTGTACATAATTGTGGCAGTGGACTACGTCTCAAGGTGGGCAGAAGCTCAGGCCATGCCCACCAATGATGCAAGACGAGTCTGCTCATTTCTGAAGCAGTTGTTCTCCTAGTTCGTGACACTGCGCGACATCATAAGTGATAGAGGAACCCATTTTCAATGGCAATTCACTAAGCTCCTCTCTCGCTATGGTGTTAAGCATCAGGTGTCGGTGGCTTACCATCCCCAAACAAAACGGTCAAGCCGATCTAACGAACTGGGAGCTTAAACGAATAATTGAAAAGACAGTGGATCAGTCCCGCAAGGATTGGTCCACCGAGCTCGATGATGCTCTTTGGGCATATAGTGTCGCCTACAAAAACCCGATTGGTACTTCACCCTATAGGCTTTTCTATGGGAAGGCGTGTCATTTGCCAGTAGAGCTAGAGCACAAGGCCTTCTAGGCCCTTAAGCTGCTGAATCTGGATTTGAGTGTTGCAGGTACTGAACGTAAGCTGCAACTGCTGGAGTTGGAGGAATGAAGTTACCACGCCTACGAGAACACCGTGCTCTACAAGGAGCGAACCAAGCATCTCCACGACGGTCGGTTGAGGGGCCCGAAGGAGTTTCAAGTAGGTGATCGTGTTTTGCTCTTCAATGCACGCCTGAAACTCTTTCCGGGAAAGCTACGTTCGAGGTGGTCGGGACCCTTCACGGTCACCCAAGTTTTCCCGCACGGTGCGGTGGAGATCAGCAATGCTCAAACTGAGCCGTTCAAGGTGAATGGCCACCTCCTAAAGTTGTACTTGGGAGGTGTTGTCGAGCGCGCAGAGCTGCTGATCAAGCTCGATGACCCTTAGTTCCTCTACTGGCGTCCAGCTAAAAGACGATAAAGAAGCGCTTGTGGGGAGGCAACCACGCCACGGTTTGCATTTCTTTCCCTTTTCATTTTCGATTTTGTCGGTTTTTGAGTCCTTGTGTCTGTTAGGAGTCTATTTGGAAAGTATTTCATTCCCTGGACGGTCTGTTTTAATCTGTGGCAGGGTATTTTTTTAGCCAGGGCACGCTTGAGTTTTGGTTGCTTGAAATCGTGATTTTGAAAAAAGGCAGAGGTAGGCTCGGCATAAAAAACACGGGCGCCAGGGGAGAAAAAACGGCTATGTTTCCTCCCTTGCCCCCCCCTGTGTTTTTCACTTTTGAATGACACCCTCTCGGCCTAAAAAACACGGGCGCGTGGGGTAAAAACACGGCCGTGTTTTGACCCCTGCCCGCCCGTGTTTTCAAAGGGGATGCGAATGCCCTCGGCGTAAAAAACACGGGCGCGGAACACGGAAAACACGGCCGTGTTTCCGCCCGCCCGTGTTTTAATCCCCCCCCTTTAAAAGTCGAATTTCGGCCTCCCCCCCCCCAGATCTCCATTTTTTCAAAAATCACAACCACCTCCCTCGCCGGAAAATCGGCTCTTCCCTTTTCTCCTGTTGTTTTTTGGCCCCAACTCCTTCCCCCGACCTCCAAATCACTAACTGCGACCACCGCTACGCTTCTGGCGCCAGGGAGCATATTCCCCAAAAGTTTAGTCTTGTTTGGAGGAGGTTGGGTCGGCGGCGGCGAGTTTTCCGACGAGTTTTCCGGCGACATTGGAGTGTTTTTTCCCTCTTCTTCACCTTCCTTGTGGTATCCACTTGCGTCTCCAGGTGTGTTTTCGTGGTCTCTTAGTTTATTTTTGGAGAATTGGTACCTAGGATTTAGGTGAAGAATTTGGGATTGTCGAATGCATTTAGAACGATTTGGTAGGCCGATGGCGCTACTTGCTTGCTATTATTTGTCCCCGGACTTACTTTCATCGGCCTCCCTTTTTCATTTTGAAATTGTGCTTGTGAATGCTTGTGTGGACTATGTGTGGTGAATGGCCGATTGTTGGATATTCGGGATCGGATTGTGTGTTTGTACCAACCGGGGGCCTAGTCCATTGTCCAAATCGTTCGATTTGAGGGCTCTCGGTGTGTTGTTTGTGTGATGATTATGGTTGTGATTGGCGTGCTTGTCTCACCGGGATCCTAGTCCGCTGTCCATATCTTTCGATGTGAGGGCTCCCGGTGTGTTTTTGCCTAACATTGACCATGTTCGCTTGTATGGCAATTGTGCATCCTTTTGCTTTGCAGGATCATGGAGGCCTACCTAGACTAATTGAGCATCACTCAGTGCCACCTGCTGCGGACCATCCGCACCCGCCATATCTCCGAGCACCTTCATCTACACTTTGGGGTGTTCGAGGCGCTTCACGCCCGGCCACAAATGGAGGCCGTTGTTCGCGCTTATGGTTGGCGGTGCCTTCTCTGCCTCGCCGAGCCAACCTACCAGGAGCTCGTCTGGGAATTCTACGCTCTTTTCCCACTCACAGAGGAGGTCAGCCGACCATGCTGATGCGGTTCATTTCACACTCGGCGGGGTTGAGCACTCCATCAGCTACTGGGAGTTGGCCACTGCACTTCGCCTCAACTCCCCTCACCCCAGTGAGCATCCTTTGATCGTGGAAGTGGCCGATCCCACCACATTTGGCGACCAGGCCTACTTTGAGCGCATCTGCCTATTCGAGTATGCGGCTGAGCGGTACATTGCCAGTCAGACGCGGGCCACTCTACTCCGTCCGGAGTGGCAGATCCTCAACCACCTACTCACCCAGTACTACACTCCCAGCCGGGGCTTGGCCAACGGGGTCACCCACCGAACCTTAAACTTCATGCACGCGATGGGTCGGTCGGAAGACACTATCGAGCTGGGCTCTGTCATTGCTCGTACATTCACCAAGGCCTGCGCCAGCCAGGATCGTTACCTTGTCTGTGACCCGGTGATCACCGCCCTGAGCCGCTACTACGGGGTCGACACTACTGGGATGACCCTGGTCGGCGCAGCGACCCCATTCAGCGAGGCCACCCTCCGACATCAGCACATGCTTGCGCGTGAGGGGCGTTTAGCATGGATTGCAGGTCTCCCTCGGCCGCCTGTACCTGATCCTGTCGGGGATGACCAGCCAGAGTCGAGTTTTGCTGGGGGGGCGTCGTGGCCCCGCCATCCTGTTCGCAGTACCCAGGCCACCACGGGTCCCTCCTCCGCTGCTCCCGGATCTTACACCCCTGCGGTCTCCATTGTTGACCAGTTGGCGGCCAGTGCTCAGCAAAACGAGCGCATTCTGGCCATCCAGGAGAGCATTCACACCCGCCTCGATCGTGCACGGGACCGCGACCGTCGTCTCATGTCCGGGAAGCACTACATCATGTCCTACCTTGGCCTGGACTCGAACTCAGTCCACTACCCCTTCGTGCAGTCACCAGGAGGATGACTACCCCCCACCCATGGTGGTGATGTGTTCTAGTGGCAAGTGGCGGGTTCTGTACTTCATTTCTTTTCCAGACTGAGACTCCATGTTCTTTGTGTTTCTTTCTGTTTTTTTCCTTTGGATTGTAGACATGGAACTCCGGTTCTTTCACCTAGTGTGTGTGTGTGTGTGTGTGTGTGTGTGTGTGTGTGTGTGTGTGTGTGTGTGTGTGTGTGTGTGTGTGTGTGTGTGTGTGTGTGTGTGTGTGTGTGTGTGTTGATGACTTTAGCTCTATGCCTTGGACTGGTCCCTTCCTAGTCCCCTGCTCTTGACTGGTCTGCCTTCCAGTCTCCGTTCCTATTCTTCATTGCACGGTAACATCGTTCCCCTTCCCTCTGCTCCATTGAGGACACTATCGCATTTAAGTGTGGGGGTGCTTTGTATTTATTGGAACGTATATATGTGTGCTTGGAGCCTAGTTCGCTATCCAAATCTCGAGATTTGAGGGCTCCAAGTACTGTTGTTTGCTTGATCGTATTGGCACTATGGTTTAATTAATGAATCGAATGGCTGTTAGAATTGATGCATGATAACTGGATTGTAACTGAGACAACCTATAATGATGACTTAGACGTGCAGTAGAGTTGTGTAGGGGTTCGGATTTTCAACTGTTTGCTTACCAACTGTGACTTGGATTGATCACTTGCTCTTGACAGTCATTTATGCATCTAGTTCAGGGAATCAGAATGAGAGATAGAGCATACAGGTAGTCATTTGAGATTTGAGCCTCCTCATTTCTTTCTTGTGTGATAGATCCCTCTTCCATGATGTGTAGCATTCACATTGTCATTAGCTAAGATAATGGAGGCATAGGAATAGCCTACGACCAAATTGACTGTATTGGTGTGTCACACCCTCTAGTCAGCCCCTTTGAGCCGTGTACTTTCCTTTCTTTCGGTCTACAATGGAAAATCACCCTTTTTGCATCTTTAGAAGGTTCCACAGAGTGGTTTTTGCATGTTCTCTGCTGTTTCCGCTAAATATAATGTGAGGAATGGAGGTAATGTTTAAAAGTTCGGCGTGTGTTTGAAAATTGTGCAGAGGTGGTGGTTCTCTCAAGAAATGAAAAAAAAAAGTAAAATGAATGAAAGCAAAAGAGAGGCAATACCAAAAATCTGAATCATGCTCATTAATAGTGTTAGCAGTCTGGCTTAGAAATACTAACATTATTGTGACCTCCTTTGCTCTTGTGCTCTAGAGAATTTGAGTAATGCAGAATGACAGAAAGAAAGTAAGAGGTTTGATTGGTTGTGAATGTGTTGGGTTTGGAACTGTGGAACCTTGTGCTATGAATACTTCCACCACCTAAAAGGCTTTTTCCCCGTGTCCAAGACCCTAGACAGTCACTTGAACCTGTGTCTAAGACCTCCGGATTAGTTAGTGATGACATCCCCTGTGTGAACTCTAACATTTAGAGGCTGCCTTCATGGTGAACAGACGTTAGGATTTGAGAGAATAAGCATGCACATTTTTCGCATCAAATTGTCCTGACCCCACTGGTCGAGAGTGAGCGATTCATTTCCCATGATTAATATGATTGACTTACCTTGTATCTGACTTGGTTTCTTGGGGACAAGAAAACGGTTCAGTGTGGGGGAGTTTGATAATGGTGTATTTGCAAAAGTTTGCACCCTTAGTTCTTATCTGTTTGTGTAGTCGTGCATTTTTTGCCTGTTTTACGCTCGGTTGTGCTACTTTGTCACATTTCAGGTCCCAGACGTCGAAGGGAAGGCTAGGCTCGAGTTTCGGGGCTTTTGGAGGTCATTCGATCGAGCTGGAGTTAGAACACGGGCAGGAGGTCTAAAAACACGGCCGTGTACACAGATGAGAAAGCCAGTATTTTTATGTGCGAGAGCTAAACTGAGGAAGAAGCAAAACACGGGCTGGACTAAGGAAAAACACGGCCGTGCTTCAGACCGTGTTATTTATGCCGAGAGGTTGCTTTTGGAGGCTGCTTTGAAGTGAAGTAAAACACGGTCGTGTCAATAAGTGGGCACGACCGTGTTTTAGGGCGACGCGGGCGTGTTTTTAACACATGGAGAGAACACGGATGGGAAAAAAAAAACAAGGCCGTGTCCTTGACCGTATTTTACCCAGAATCGAGCTTTTGAGGCAGATTGAAGCCAAAGGAGAGAGAATGGAGTGAAGGTGCGAAGAACAAACCCTAGGAGCTATTTGGAGTGGATTTCTCACCATTGAAGCCCAGATTGCATCCCCAGGAGTGAAGGTCGACATCCCAAAGTAGATTATCCTCATCTTTATGAGTATGACTACTCTGATTTATGTTTTCCTCTCTCTCTATGGAGTAGAACTTTCTCTCACTTGGGTATGAAGAACCCTAGTTCCATGTGTTAGGAATCTTGATTGTAATGACTTGGGATTGATATACTGATTGGTTATAATCGATTGATGCATGATTCATTGAGTCAATTGAAGTCTGATCATCTTTTCTTGATTTCTGCTGCAACCTGAGATAGATAGAATCTGATTAGGTTGTTAGAGCTTCATCAATCTGTAGTGGTAGATTGGTTATACGAGAGTTAATCGATTTACTGCTTTGTATTGGAACCCAATTCCAGTAGTGGATTCTGTGCTTATTGCCTCTGCAGTCTATCCCGGTGAAGGTTAGTCGCCTGCCGGTTAGCCTGTCTGAGAGGGCTTCGTCAGCTTAAGAGATTCCAAGATACTGTCGGATCTTTCGCAGTTTAATCAACAGTTAATCAACCCAGGGTAATTACAACCTCGACCTAACTAAGGAGCTAGGGGGACTCATTCCCGAGTGACTCTTCCCTTGCTAAAGAACTTTGAATCATTTCCTGCTTTGTTACTTCTTTTAGTTAAAATCACAATCACTCAACTTAGTTTGCTAGATAATAGATCATCATAGAGTAGGCAGTAGATCTAGACCCCGGGTTGACTAATAGAACTTGCCTTTTACTGCATTTCTGGACTGCGATTACACTTGGTCGTAGTTTGGTGGTGTTTTAGCGTGTCAGATCCCAATCACCATAGACCTCAGCCATGGCCTTCTGCTTTCCATGCAATGCCTTCTTGTACCTAATCGTGTAGGAATGTCCATCCTTCACCTCGGCCATGATAACGTTGATCTTGATATCTGGTTGTGCCTCAATCAAGTGCTTGATGGTTCTTGCCTCTTTCTTTGCTCTAAGTTGGCGATGATCCTAGGAAAGTATAGATGATGAGTAGGTGTGGTTGTTCTCTACTTTTCGAATCACCCAGGCACCCTTTCTTTTCATATTTGCAGCCCGCAGTTTCCACATACAACCCTCTCCAACATTCTTGCATATGACATGCAGTTGTTTGGTGTTAGAATATTTTACCTTCTGCTCGAATTGTGTCGCATGGCTTCTTTAGTAAAAGCATCTTGAACATCGTCTTTCGAAGTGAACGCCATACTCACTTCCAATTTGGCAGTCGGATTATGTTGATGTGACTTGAATCGGACTATCAGCCGCTACGACTGATAGTTATTTGGGTTCAGGTTCTAGGCCTGGTCTGTAACCGTTTCCTTTGCCAGATTGGATTAGGTTTAGACCCACATGGAGAAGTACTATAAATACTTCTCATAGTCCTCTGTAATCTGTAATCTCCTCGATATAGTGAAACTGGCTCTCTCTCTCTCTCGCCCGTGGACTAGCTAACACACATCGTGTTAGTGAACCACGTAAATCGTGTGTCTGTGTTTTTCGATTCTCGCTTTCGTATTCTTGCTTTTCCGATTCTGGTGATTTCCCGATCCGTAGCAGCGCATTTATAACAAGTGGTATCAGAGCCGCGGCTGGAAATCAGGCTTGGGTTTTTTTGATTCAGAAGAATGACGTCGGTGAACATGAAGATCGAAAAGTTCAGGGGGAAGAACAGCTTCGCTATATGGCAGATCAAGATGCAGGCTTTATTAAAACAGCAAGGGTTGTGGGGGCCGCTGTCTGCGAAACAGAAGAAGGCAGTGGTCGATGACGATGAGTGGAATACCTGGAGGAGAAGGCCCACTCGACCATCATGCTATCATTGTCTGATGAAGTCATCGTTGAAGTCGCTGATGAGAAGACTGTCGTGGGCTTGTGGTTGAAACTAGAGAGTCTGTACATGACTAAGTCTCTAACCAACAAGCTGCATCTCAAGCAACGGTTGTTCAGCTTGAGGATGCAAGAAGGTACGCCTTTGAGGGAACATCTCGAACAGCTTAACTCTATTTTGATGGATCTGCGTAATATAGATGTTCAAGTTGATGACGAGGATGCTGCCCTAATCCTACTGGTTTCTTTGCCGAGTTCATATGAGAATTTTGTTGATTCTTTTATTGCTGGAAAAGAAAGCGTGTCGTTGGAGGATGTCAGGTCTGCTCTTCATATGAGAGAGATCAGGCATAAGGCGTCTGGATCTGGTATAGGTGGTGAGGCATTGGGTTTGGCTGTTACAGGTGGAAAGGGAAAGAAGAAATCTGGTAAAGGGAATTTGAACAAGAATTCCAAGGATCCCGGTCCACAGCCAAGTGATGCTTGTCACAACTGTAAGGAAGTGGGGCATTGGAAGTACAACTGTCCCAAGAGAAGAGGGCAATAGAAGAAACAAGGTTCAGTTGTCGTGGCAGAAGTGGACAACAGTTCTAAAGAGGATCTCGCCTTGGTTGTAGATGAGAAGGCACATCGTGGGGATGTGTGGTTTCTGGATACTGCAGCCTCATACCATATGTCTCCGAACAGGGATTGCTTCACAACCTACGAGCAGATAGATGGTGGTAATGTGGTCATGGCAAATGGAGCTGTCAGCAAGGTTGTTGGAATCGGGTCCATAAAAGTTCGGGCACATGATGGTTCATTCTGTACCGTGAATGATGTCAGCCATGTTCCACAAATGACAAAGAACCTGATCTCCTTGAGTCTACTCGACATCAAGGGTATCAGCTTCAAAGGAAAAGGTGGAGTTGTGTATGTCTGCAAAGGTTCAAGGAAGGTGCTGAAGAGCGTGAAGCGTGGGACCTTGTATGCATTACAAGGATCTGTGTTGTCTGGTTCTGCTGCAGTTGCATCATCTCAGGTTCATCAAGAAGATATGACCACTCTCTGGCACATGAGACTGGGGCATATGAGTGAACGGGGGATGCAAGTTCTGACGAAGAGGGATCTTCTTTGCGGGCACAAGGTGCAGAAGTTGGAATTCTGCAAGCATTGTGTGTTTGGGAAGCTACACCGCAGCAAGTTTTCCAAGAAGTGTATCCACCGAACGAAGGGGATACTGGATTACCTCCACTCCGACTGTTGGGGTCCTTCACGAGTTGAATCCATTGGAGGCATCAGGTATTTTCTGTTTATTATTGATGATTATTCGAGATTTACTTGGATTTTCATGATGAAGCAGAAAAGTGAGGATTTCACGAAGTTCAAGCGGTGGAGAACATTGGTCGAGAATCAGACTGGGAAGAAGATCAAGAAGCTGCGAACGGACAATGCTCTGGAGTTTTGTAATTCTGAGTTCAACGAATTCTGCAAGGATGA